GTCGCACAAGTGGAGGCCCCTCCTACTCGCTGTGGTCTCTTGCCAGTCCAGTCACTCGGTTGGATAAAATAGTTCTTCATGACCGGGTCAAATCCTATGTGTGCAGTGTCATCATATGAGTATTTCCTTGTCAGAGGTGTGAACATCACACCTAGGGGCCTCCCAGGGACACCCATTAAAGGCTGACACTGGCTTGGATGCTCCTGTGTCCACAGCAAGGTGAATGGGGTTGGGGCCTCCTGGCTGGATGGATTAACACAGAGTGCTCTGTGATTTCATGGCCTATGCTGGGCCAGGATGAGCTCCTTTGGGGAGACCTTTTTGTCCAGTTCATACACGTTCTTAGAAAATTCCATGTCAACAGCCACTTCATCTTCTGGCTCACGTGCAGCACTGACAAGCAGCTGGTGACCTCCACTGAGTGTCAACAGTTCCCACAGAGTCCCATATGTGGTCAGTTCCCTCATTTTGTCCGTCATTCGTAGCCGTGAGGTGACTCTTCTATGATGAATGCCAAAAGGGCTGGGTGCAGCCTGACCACACGGCCTCCAGGAAGGGCCTTGGGAGAGCAGGACCAGTCAGTGAGGACACTAGGCACTGGAGCTTGTGCTGAGGCCAGGGTCGGGCCCAGAGCTGCAGTCATAGCTGCTGCTGCCCCTGGGTCTGAAGATGAGGACACAGCCTCAACACGGGCTGGCATTGGTGCCAGGTCTGGGGCGGGAGTGGTGGAAGAACCACTTACTCTTACTATCCACGTGGTCTTCTTGTCATGAGAGGTCTATGCATTTGTTCATTCAACACCTACAATTTCTAAAGTATACAGTAAGAGCTATGGGAAATCCAAATATTAATAAAAGCTAAGTCAGTAGCTGTCCTTCAGAAGGTCACAGTCAAAAGGATCATAAGTAGATGTAGATGATGTAAGCTGATATCTCAAGTAGAGATGACAACAGTACTCCTGGAGGAAAATCTATAGGAAATCTGATCTGATATATATATATACATATTGAGGATTATTAGGGTATCTGTGGCCTGACTTACCTCTGTTGTAGTTTCTCAGAGAGTGGAATTCCCAGTGACAGCCTCATTATCCACCTTCTTCTTCTGTGGTGTAATCTCCAAGGAAGAAGGAACTGACTCAGCATTGCATTCTCTGCACTCCGCCTCCCACACTGCCAACTTCCAACTGGACTAGATAATGATGATGAGAAACAGCACTCTGCACCATCAGGTCCACTGTCAGCAGTGAAGCCCACTAAGGCTTCAAGTCTCCACACCTCCACCAGGTGTGGGCTCCTCTGACCTTGCACATGGTCTTGTCCTTGCTTTCCAGGCTTTCTACAACTATCGTGTCCTGGAATTACTTCAGATGCTGGTGACAGGAGGTGTAAGCTCTCAGCTAGAACAACATTTGGACAAGGAGAAGTACTCCAATGCTGACAGCTATACTACAATCATGACTGGGAAAAGTCGGTGTAAGCTGGAGCTTCTGCCCTTACACCAAACCATATTATCGGACGTTGAAGTGAGTCTAGTCTTCAGAATTTCCTCCTTCCTCACCTCTCTGAGTTTCTGAAAATGGTCCAGGCTATTTGAGTTCATAGATGGCCTACTTAGCTCAGAAATAATAATATGTAATAACAACAAAAAATGCAGCTTCATACTCATAAAGCATTTTATGTGTACAAATCACAGTACATTCACGTGTTATATTTAGTTTTTACAGCAATACTGAGCAATACATAAAACAGCTGTTATCCTCCCTGTCTTCCAAATAAATAATTCAAATTTGCAGGAAGCATCAGAGAGGACCAATAACTTTGTATCTTGATGAGGATATTAAAAATGAGTATAATAGCTACTATTTACTGCTATTTCTTTAGTTTAGTAAAATTCTTTCGTTTACTTTGGTTTTTGCCCATAATCTGTCTAAGGGCTTATACAGTAGGCATTATTATTAATTCCTTGTAAGATATCAAGCAGCTGAGACCCAAAGTAGCAAGGACTTACCTAAGCCACAATGTCAGCCAGGGTCAGGCCAGAGGTACGGCTAAGTCAGTCTGATGTCAGGTCTATCCATTCTCCCTAATCCTGAAATGCTAAACAAATCTATTCAGATTAGCTGACATCAAACAGGATGATTCTGTGTCTGGTTCTAAGAATCTGCCTGTACCCAGAGAACTGGTAAACAACACATTATAGCAAAAGAAAAGATAACAACTCTGACAAACGCCAGTGGGCCATCTGTGCATTTGAGAATCAGTAGATTCTAGCCCAGGAGTGAGTAGTCCACTGGTCAAGGGGGTGCCTTCTGCTTTTGTTTTGATTAACATTACACACAGCAGTCCAGGGTTATAGTTAGGGGCAGGATTTCCAAAGGGAACATCTTTTGCTGGTTCAGAAGATATTGGGAGAACCTCCTTCACAAGGAGCTTTGACATATGCTGCCCCAGAGGGTGAGTCCTGTGTTCTATGTATTTGAATTTCAGATGCCAACGGCATTCCCAAAGCTCCCTTGCATGTCTGTGGCCCTGGGTTTCTTACCCAGAACTGGCCTGTGAGTGATCGTGTGCCCAGGATACTGCCATTGGCAATGTCCTGTGGGTTTCAGAGAGGACATAGACCAGTTCCCCACTGTGATGTCTCACCCTCACTTGGTTCTTTATCCCGAGGAATCACAGACCTGAATGAACTATTCGCTTTTGACTTTGCTGAGACTTTTTGCTGCTTCAGGGTTTTGAACCTGTTGTCTATTCAGAGCAACCGTGCTGGCTATGGCCTAAGAGCAAGGTGGAGATGAGAGCTGGGGACACTGACCTGTTTCAGAGAGGGGGTGAGAGAATGATTCTTGGGAAGTCACTTAATATCCCAGCTCATCACATACCCTGGAAAACTGAATTTTTCAACCCGTTGCTTACTGTTAATTCATAATGATCATCAAAACAGTAATAGGAATATGAACATAACAACATGCCACATCACACCCACCCCAGGCTCTTGAAAGAACCAGAATGATAAAAACAATTAGAGTCTCCAGCTAACACTGCCACCATGAAGTTTGCCACCAAACTCCTACTACCTGAATAGGCGGGTGAAACCCCACTAAGTGTTTATGACTGTTTGATCTAAGTGCCCAGAAGACATACATTCTTCTCTTTTCTCCCCAGCCAAAAAAGAACTTTGGACAACTGTTCTGTGGCTCCTTAGATCGTTTCGGGATCCTGTGTATTGGCTTATATCGCTTGATAAATGAAGAGGAGTTGAACCCAGAGTCCAAAAGGGGAGTATGCTAGTATGGAAATGCTAACTGCCCATTCAAGGATAAGAACCAGAGCTACTTTATTCAGTGTGGAATCTCAGTGTCTGTAGTTGTAAAAAAGGGTACAGGGAAAATAAATAATGATGTAGGCAAAAGGAAAAATGTATATAAATAAGAAAAACCGTGATGATTAGGGTCTAACAATCTTGGTCATATAAGAAGAATGGAGTCTCTGTCCCGTAGTGAAATGCAGACCTAGATTTTAAACTCTGGTGTTTTCATAACTTGTATGTACATGTATGACATTCTAAGATTGAATGCCACTGTTCACTGGAAAGATTTACTTGTTTTCTTCAGAATTGTTGGGTGGATATTGACTGAGTGTTTCTTTTTGAGCCACTGTGCTTTATACAGTGATAAGTTCAGATTTAAATTAAAAAAAAAAAAGATCATTCTGACAGCTGTGGGGAAGATTGGTAACATGTGGGTGAAGGGGAGGAGGAGCGGAGAGAGACTGCAGTCTAGGAACAACATAATCTCGTAGGTCCAAACTGAGATCCTCATAAGGAGAATGGCCACGTTCAGTGGAGGAGAAATTAAAAGTAGTGGAGTAGAAACAGACTGATGGGCTATGTTCCAGGAGAAAGGAGAAGGAAGTCAAATGGCTCAAGGTGTTGCTGCAAATAAAAGCAACAATGAGGACATTTTCTCTGACCATAAGAGAAAAAGAGGAAAAGAACAAATGAGCAGGGCTATCTGTCTCTAAGAGAGGGCTGTGTTCATGGGAATTTTTAGTTAGCAGGATCTTTCAAAGCATAATAATTACTGAGAATAGGATGGAAGAAGTAGCACAAAGGGTTGAGAAAGAGGTAAAACTTTGGATTTGCTGGTGAGAGTTGTAGAAGAGGAGGTGTTGTGGCCCAGGAGCCACAACACTGCAGGCTGAGAATTCCCCAGGCAAGGACTTTCCTGACTGTCCAATCCGGAGACAAAATGCTACCAGAAATCCATACACAGAGCTTCTGTGAAAAAAATCTGCTGAGACCTGGGAGGGAGTGACTGGGTATCAGCCTAAAGTGAGGCAGACAGGTGGCACCCTGACTCAAAATTTCATGAGGTTTTTATCTAGGATTTTAGGATATGTGTTTATAGAATGCAGATGTAAAGAGTTGATAGTCTCATGACTCAGTCATGCTGATGGTCTTGATGATGAAAAAGATCTTCAGGGTGGACTCACTAAATAATAGAACTATTCTCAAGAGCAGGAGAAAGTAGGTAACAAACAAAGTTGCCTTGGGGATGGGAGAGGAATGGTTATGGTTATAGCTTTCAGGCTAGATAGTCTCTGCTCAAGGGTAATTTTTAATCCCCTTCTAGTCTGTTGCATCCTGTCTCTGCCAAGCTGCTGAATTTTACTCAGATGTCCCCAAAGTAGTTTTCTGTCTATTCTGGCAAAGATTCTGACCCCTCTTGCCACCATAGGTGTGCTGAGCAGGAAGGGGGTGGCTGAGGCCCAGGGTCCTTCCTGCATGCTAGTCCTCTGGAAAGTCTACCTGCACTACATTTCCAGCCACAGGGAGGTACATTGTGGGTTTGTGAAGCAATCTTTGACTATAAAGTGAAAGGACAAAGGATTGGACCTCCTGATGATGTTCAAGTGTAGATATGCTCAGAGTAAGGGAGTAAGGGGATAAGGGAGAAAGAAGGCTGAGAAGTTGTGGTTAGAAAATGAAGCTTAAGATTTGAGAGGTGAGGCAGTGTCAGAACATTATAGCACTCTGAATCTAGTAGGAAAGTCTTTTGTTGATAATGATCTTCAGTGGTGGAGGTCACAGAAATGTGCGTGGGTGTTAGACTCATACACCACGTAGATTCTGCAGGTCCTTGAGATGAAGGTCTGAAAAGAAAGGATATCTTGAGAGTCAAAGACTTAAATAAGCAGGAAGGCCTGTGAATGACACTGACAGATTGGGGGGTGGATGATATGGCTTCCCAGAACTCACCATCCAGACAAGCAGGGAGGAGCCATGTTCTGGAAATGGTGTTGGGAGCATGCATGCCCTGAACTCCATCCTCTCCCCTAAACACCTCTGGAAAACCTATGAAACATCTAAGTGGGAGAATGTGCAGCTTGTAGTTGAGTGGACCTGAGGAGAGAAAATGCTATTTTGATTTTAGATGGAATACACCATCTTTTTCTTAAGAAGATCTTTCTAATAGAGTTGGGGTTCCAGAGTACTCAACAGGAAAGATAGATATGGGTGGATTATTCAGTGGACAAAGGGAGATGGTACCTTGAGGTCCATCTTAGAGAAGGTGATCACTGAAGCAGCAGGGAGGTGGTGCAGAATGCACACCCTGCCAAGTCATCCTGCCCCCAAGTTCAGACATGAACACTGGTGTTCGACCTAATTTAACTCATACTTATTAAGATTTTCTGTGCACTGGATAGTGTGATAAGCTTCTCCACAAAGCCTTCCCATATAGCTCTAGGCTTTAGGCATTCTTTAGGAGTCATAGAAATTTATTATTTGTTTACCAGTCCAAATGTCAAATAAGACTTTTCGTGTTTTGTTCATTTGCTTTAAAAATGCTTTCCTACATTTGCCAGTCCATGTTCTCTAAAGGTGATGGTGTCGTTGTTAGGTTAGGGTAGGCCTAAACCAGACTGGAAATATCTGAAATGTTTGTAATCTTCTGCTTTGACAAAGCTTGCCTCAGTGCTCAGCTCTGTGCCAGTTGAATTCATGGATGTAGTGTCTATTAAAAGTAGATCAAATTAGAATCCAAAGGGCCATTATATATCAGCCAGTCCAATCCACAGTCTGACACCTCTCTGGATGGGAGCAGCGAGACCCAGAGGAGGGAGACATCTTGCCTAAGGTCAGAGGTGGTTGGGCTCAGAGGCAGGGGATGAAGCCAGCCCCTAACTCCTACTCCAGGACCTCTCTGATCACATTGTGCTGGGGATATTTACTACTAGTCAGAAACCAGTGAAGTCAAGCAAAACAAAAACATTTCCTCTTTTTGCCCCATAAAATGACTTCTCTGTTTGGGGCCATGACCTAAAGCTCCACTGTCCTTCCTGCAGAGGCTCAGAATTTATCTCTGACTTGTCTTACAGGTTTGTGATCACCCGGCCAGAGAATGAGTTCCTCCTGCTGCCCACGGATCTCGTGTATTGTGCCATCCCTTTCAGCCTAGATTGTAATCAGAAGAAGGATGCTGAGACAGATGGAATGCCCTATGAAACTGTAAATATAGAGCCACTGACACCAGAGAAAAGTCCAGATGCAAAGCATCCTTCCAAAACTGACATAATTAAGGAGACTACATCACCAACGGTCCAGGTACCAGTCCAGCCTTTGCAGTCCGGCATTTTTGCACCCAAGCAAGATGTATTGAAACAGAGTAGCAAAAACACCATCCAGTCATCCCAGGTGCTTCCAGGTGACAATGTGCAAGAAAAGGGAAAGGGAAAATGAAAGGAGAAGGAAAGCAAAGCACAGAGGAGGCCACCTTCACACAATCAAAGCCAAAGTCAACCTTCCAACTCTCTCCGCAAGCTCCTACCTTTGCTGCTTACCAGGCATCTCCAGAGATGGCAACTTCGAACAAGGAAAATGAAAATGGAAGCAGGCCATTTTTGTGTCCACTGGTTAGCGGTTGATTAGCAAAGCCATGCTGTTTTGGAAGAGACAAAAGTCTCATCCAATCCTGATGGAGCCGGTGTGATTAATAAAGAAATATATGATAAATACCTCTGTAAGAAAAGTTCTTTGTTCCGTTTCCCTTGAGCAGAAATCATGTTAGTTTGAGCTGCATTAGCAAAGTCCTCTCATACTTGCTGGGACCCCCCAGCTCAGGGAATATAAGTGATCACGATTAAAACGAGCAAGACAGACACAGGAGACAGGAAGTAAAGTGCCCCCTACAAATAAAGAATCATGTATTTTTTTGTTTTTATTGCAGAACAGGCAAAAAGTAAACTAGTACACATTTCCCATTCCCCTCTTTTTTTTCTCCACATACTTTCTTTTTCTTTCCTTTTTTTTGAGACAGAGTCTCACTATGTCGCCCTCAGTAGAGTGTTTTGGTGTCACAGCTCACAGCAACCTCAAACTCTTAGGCTTAAGCAATTCTCTTGCCTCAACCTCCCAAGTAGCTGAGACTACAGGTGCCTGCCACAATGCCCAGCTATTTTTTGGTTGTTGTTGCCGTTGTTGTTTAGCTGGCCTGGGCCAGGTTTGAACCTACTAGCCTCAACTTATGTGCCTGGTGCCATAACTACTGTGATGCAGGTGCTGAGCCCATACTTTCCTTTTGTAGAAGGTGAGAAAGATGATGTGGGGAGATAGCTGATTGGAAGAGAAGCCAACTTGCCTGTAAGATCTGGGTATTTGCTTGGCACATAGTAGGTGTTTAATGAGAGTGAATATGAACGCTGGATTGGGTTGCCTAGGTGTAGTCGGCTCAATTGAAATATGTAACTTTCCAAATTTTCTAATTCAGTCATAGAGACATCATTGAATGAAAAGCAGGAAGCATTTCCCCATTTTATGTTCCAGAGCAAACCAATCCGCTGCTCTGTAAACCTTACCTTCACCAGTTATTACTCTGTTAACATAGTAAATGAAAGTTCAGCATACGTAGGAAGTATTTACTCCCACTTGGTGATCTTGTAATGGTGAGCTTTACAAGCAAAGCCTTCCTGCATTGTACATACAATATAGATATAAAGGGAGGGGAAAGAAAATAATAGCCCATATTTCCCATAAATTGTTTTCTATAACGTTTATGATATTTTTGAATTTTTAGCGTTGTTGTTGGATTAATTTATTACCCTTGTTTTACAAAGGAAGAAGCTATGTCACAATAGTGTTCCCAGGTAAACACACTCAGTTAAATTTGAATATCTGATAAATAACAAATAAATTTTTAGGCTAAATTATTGTGCTTACCTAGGAAGTGATCAAGTCCACATTCAAAACTTCATTTCTTTGACTCTGAAACTTGTAGGCATTGTGCCCCCCAAGCATGCAAACAAAAGAAATGCAACAAACTCAAAGAAAAACAGAGACATGCATCCACAGAAAAGGGAAGTTTGTATTAGTCAAGTTTGGGTGTAAAAAAATTGCCTCTGGCTGGACACTGGAAGCCTAGAGGGGAGAGCCCTTGAGGCCAGGAGTTAAAGACCAGCCTGAGCAAGAGGGAGACCACATCTGTACAAAAAATAAGAAAATTAACCAGGTATGGTGGTGGGTGCCTATAGTCCTAGCTACTTGGGAGATGAGAGTGGAGGATCTCTTGAGCCCAAGAGTTTGAGGTTCCTGTGAGCTATGATGAAGCCACTGCACTGTAACTTGAACAACACAGAGAAATCCTATCTCAAAAAGGAAGGAAGGAAGGAAGGAAGGAAGGAAGGAAGGAAGGAAGGAAGGAAGTAAGTCAACTCAATCTATATGGAAAAGAAAGAGAGTAAGAAAGTTGTCAGGGACCAAAGAAAAACTTTTCTGCACTTACCTCAGCCTCCTTCCCCTCTCCTCCTTGTGCAGATTGTTACAGACTTCCTTTCTTTTTTTTTTTTCCATATATGTGGCAACATATATCTCTCTGCCCAAATTTATAGGTAGAGTTACAGGCACATCAAAGATTTTCTGTCTCTGAATCTCAAATCCTAATTTCTACGGGCATGATGGCTTCACCTCTGACCAACCATCTGAACTATTAAAGTCTGAGGAGCAAAGTGCCTCTGCACAGGAGGATGTCAATGGCCTGGGAAGATGTGGCACCAAAGTCTACTGCAAAGGCAGGATCATTCCTTTTCCCCACTCCCCTGGCCATTTTATGCCCATTGCAGATCTAGTAGAAACAAAATATTCCCAAGAAGGAAATTATGGATTAGATCTGTGGACATTCAAAAGCCTAAATCCACTGGTATACACACACTGACCACTCTGCTTATTACCTGACACTCAGTCCTCCAGAGGGAAAACTCAACCCACAAATGATTTAATTTCTAACAGTGTAGAGCAATTTGAATGATAAATATTTTATTTTCCAATATTTTAGGTGAATGAGTACCACAAATCTAGCTAAAGAATATTAAGTTATATGCAGTGATAACCAATGTATGAGCGGTCACAGTGCCAGTTGTGATAAATAGAATTGTCCCAGGACTCCTACAACCCTGTGCAGATGATTCTGTGAAGTCCAGACCCAAACTCTTCACCTATAGATGGCAACATTTTAAGAAAAGTCATAACACCAAACCCTTTGGCAATATGGTACATATTTAATTCATAATTATTGTTCAATACTTATCAATCAAAGAGCTTTAACAAAGACAAAGAAAAATCATGCAAAGAACTTAGCAGTTCACAAAAAGATATGGGCTGGGAATTTTTAAGATGTTGTGTCTTTGATGCTTTCAACATTGGATGAAAGCTACTACAGAAATCCTCCCCAGGAAAATTTATATATCCACATATGTATTTCACAAAATTCATCTTATAAGCAGGGAGGAGCTCATGGATCACTATAATCCACTCACTATCTTCCCATAAGGTAATGGGAAGATTTTCTGTAACCAGCAGAGTGGTCACCAGAAACATAGGAAAGGGCAGACAGGCGCCTGAACACTTACTTTGTGTATCTCACTAAAGACTTTTTGTGTTGGACACGTTTTTAAACCTTCCTCAGCAGCCTTTACCAATTGTAAAGGAGAACGTTGAGCTGGAAGGTTTTGAACATCACTTCCATTTTCATGTATTTAACACATGTATTCCCCAGGGGGCCAAGAACAAAGCAGGGATGAAGACAATGTTGCTTTCTCCTCGGAACTTCTCTGTTCTAGTGGAAGGAAGCAGAAAATATAAGGCAGACAGAACCGTTAGAGCATAGGGAATAAACCCTGGGAAGAATCACATGAGATTGGAAAGATAGACAGGACCTGATTAAGGAAGACACTGCGGACTATGAAGAAAAAATTGCATTTGAGTGTAAGTGCATGAGAAGCTTCTTAAACATTCTAAATGATGGAGTATGTGATGTGATTTACAGTTGACCCTCAGACAACGTGCATAAGTAGAAATGAATGAAAGATTAAAAATTAATGAGCTAATTGCTCATAAATTAGAGAAAGAATATTTCCCAACATACGTGACCCAAACAGGAAACAGAACACAAATCAGGGGTCTGATTTGGTCAATAGCTAACCATTTGTTATTTTGAGAAGTGGCAAAACTGTCCTTTATTAAATGTGTCATTTTGTTCTGGTGGTCTCAAGACATGCTGGAGCAGTATTTGAACCGAATTGAGGAGGAGGACAACTGGGTTACAACGAAGAAGCTGGAGGCAACATGTGAAAATCTCTGCTGTTCAAAAACCAGCAGCATCTGCCTTATGGGAAAGTGGACCCTATCTCAGAACTATTGAATTAGAGTCTACATTTTAACAAGATTTATAAATGGTTCATACATTAAAATTTGAGAAGCAGGCTTTTAAGGAATATATAAGTGTAGGAGCATGTGCAGTGTATACATTATATGTGTTGTACATGTGTGTCACATGTTACTTGTGTACATGTCATAAGCCACTATACATAAATAAAAGGGGTTCTGAGTGTACCCAGAACAAGACCAGGAGATGTGCAGACAAAGAGCAACGAAAGGGGACTAAGATTCATCTGGGCAAAGATGGCGGCTGCAATGAGGATGTCTTAAAGCTTGTTTTTATCCTGGGCATAGGGAGAGGGAGATTCCACAGGTTGCTGGAAGGCTTTAACCAGGTAGGGTATTTCAGGAGGAACTCTTGGGGTGGAGCTGAGTAGGCCTTTGTTCTGGGAGGGGACGTGGGGGAAGAATTTAGGCTCCTAACAACAAATATGTATGCATATATGAATATAAACATATACATGTACACATACACATGGTAGTTTCTGGAAAAATCACAGATAATCTAGTGGGTTGGTTTTAATAAAAACTGTCTCCCACAACATTTTGCTATTTGGCGCGTTAACTTGTATTTAAAACATAAAGTGTTTTGCAAACATCTCTAGTTAACTATAAAATCCTTTAGCTGAAATAAGCCAGTTTATGACCCCTCAAACTGGAAAGGGGAGGTTGGAGTCAGTGAGGTTGATGTCCATTTTCCTGGAAGAACAATACCCTATAGTTCAGAATCTAAGAGTCTTTCTTTCAGGCCAAAGAAACAAGATAACCCAAGCTCTATCAGTAATCGCACCTCAGTTCTGTGATTTGCATGGGGAGGGAGGGAGTGCTGGAAAGTGAGAAGGAAGCCAGGCAGGGAGAAGAGAGAAGGAAGGGCTGCTGGGAAGGGGAGGAGGGAGAAAGGCCCTGACACTAATTAGGTTTGAAAGACTACAGGATGAGTCCAGCCACCGCTTGCTGGGAAGACAGGAACCCGAGCAGCTGATGCTAAGTTGAGAC